AAAAAAAAAAAAAAATCGCCAAAGGACGTAGGGGAAGAATCAGAAGAGCGGAGGCTGCAGAAGAGAAAGGGAGCGCGACAGGGACCTCGGTGCTGCTGCCGTGACCACTGCGGGCGAGCGCTCCCTTAGCTACTGGGTAGCGTGACTCAGAGGGGTTCCAATCACCTGCCAGCTCACATGTAGGGATTGTGTATGTGCGAGCGCGCCGAGCAGCTGGGCGCACGCTCGGCCTCAGCGCCGCGCCGAGCGAGGAAGCATCTAGTCTTCGCCACTGGAGCTGGGGACGCCGCCGCGGCCGCCACCGAGCCCACAAAGCCTGGCCAGGGAGGCAGAGGGAAGCCCTCCCTTCTCTTCCCTTCTCTGTTCGCTTCCCGGCTCCTCCTCCTCCTCTTCTCCTCCTCTTCCTCCTCCTCTTCCTCCTCCTCCTTCTTACCGTACCCCTCGAGCTTCCAGAACCTTTCTACCCTGCCCTTTCCTCGTTTGGAAACAAAAAGAAGAGACCTACGGGCCCTGGTCCATCAGCTGGGGCGGGGGCCTAGGACCCAGCGCGCTACTCTCCCTAGGCGGGCGGTGGTGCTGTCCCCGGTGCTGAAGTTGGGGGTTTGCGATGTAATCTTAGAAGGCTGCTATCCACACCTGGCTACCCCAGACTCAAACTCGGAAAGGAGAATCCCCTCTCTCGGATGCTCTCTCTTTCCCTTCTCTCCTCCCCTTCAGATGGAGATGGTACAGGCTCCCGGAGCTCCGATCACCGGGAACAACAATCGGGCGTCCGACAGGCAGGTCTTCCGAGTGGTCCTAACACCAAGGGACGGAGCAAAACATCCCGACTGACTGGAACCGCCGGGGAGGACTGCAGGCGCCGCTAATGCAGATGTTTTAAATATGTAATTAATTCATCCTTATACATATGCGCTCTCACACATAGGCACACGTACACCAAACACACTGCTGCTAGGAAAACTACATTCAGGCAAACACACAAACACACACACAGGATCACAAACTGAAATAAATAAGCAAGAATATACATAACTACTTTAAAATGAAGAAGGCATTGCAGGTAATAAGAACTAAGGTCTAGGGAGACCTGAGCTTCTCTTTTCACATTTAGATAATTTCAATAATGAATCTCAAGCTCTTCTCAGGAGCTCAAGTCTCTCCACACTTTACCCTATGCATGGTTTCCTGGCATTTAGTCTAAATAAAGTACTTGCATTCTTATCTTTCTGCAGAGTCAATGTTCTTACTGATTTGACTGTCACAATTAAGAGTTATTGGTCATCTAGATATGTAATGATGTTTAGGGAGGACTACATAGGAGTAACGATGCCTTTCAGTGTTATGCAATGAAAAAGCATTTGACTTTCTAGAAAAATAAAATTTTTATGGAGACTTGCTTACTCCTGAAGTAGACCCTAAGTCCCCACCCCCTTTGTACAGGGGATCAAAAATCGGGTCCTTGCACTTGCAAGGCAGGCGATGGCACAACTGAGCTAAATCCCCAGTCCCTAGACTCTAAGTTTTTAATATTATGGTTGTATGGTTGGTTCTTAGAAAGGTCCACCATAAACAGTCCTGTGTGTTCACTGCATAATTAGTATGGTGTTAATGGACCTGATTTAGCATGTTTTTATTTGAGCTTTATCAACTCTTATTGATTTAAAAGGATGCATTGTCCAAGCATGACCTGTAAATTGAGTAAAACCTAGGAAATGAAGAAATGCAGATAACTAATAAGGGAAAAACACCATTGTCATGCTATACCCTACTCCTACAAAATAGTACAATGAAGCCATTTTTATTGATTGTAAAATGCCCTTTTTCAATTTGAATTCCCACAGGCTTTCAAAAGTCAATGAATACTTGCCAAAACACTTTGGTACAGAATTGCCATCAGCCAATTGTAAAAGCTGAAAGAAACCAGTCACAGGGAAAAATAGTCAGAAAGCACAGCTTTTTAGAACAGCTCACTGTTTAACCATGCCTTTGCATTTTAACCACTGCATTAAACTCTACTGAAGTGCTGTTAAAGAATTTTTAATAGAAGAAAAAAGGGACAAGAATTAAAAATTAGCCATTGAATGGATAATTCAAGTAGTCAGTTATCTTAGGTTACTGATAAAAAAGACTTACAATAAATATATTTAATTTTTTGTATCAGAAAAAGATATACCTGGAGATATTTTTCATAAAAAGGTTCATCTCCTTTACTGAGTAAAGATAAAGGGAAGAAAATAAAATAGAAAAATTTTTAGAATCACAGATATGTAACCTCTCTTCATCATCTCTCTGCTATATGGATAGGATCTTCCTTCAGGCCAGTGTGACCATAAAAGTTCCTTCAGTTCTTCACAGTGGACATTGTTGCATTACATGCAGATTTGAAAGTTATATCACATTATTTGTAATGCAAATGTTTTTTCTTCTACTTTGTGCTGGATAGATATGAACATCTAGAGTAATAATTAAAGAGACAGGATGTTAATAGCTGCAGGAGAACAGGTTCTTTCATGTCTAATGTTACATTTTCCCTACCTAGCTTTCCATTAGAAACTAAGGTAAGGAAACTTTCTTTTTTCCCTCCAGTATAACTGTGACAATTTCAGGTAAGGTTGGAAATGGTAAGCTTGTGTGGTATGATCATATTATGATGGAGTAAAAGTAATAAATCAAAGGGCTCACCGTCATCCCACTGTTGACTATAAAATATAGAATTTCTTATGTCAGATACTGAATGTATTATCATTGTCTGCACCACCTTTGTGTTTTCAAATATCTAAAGACAGGTTTGATTGATCTGAAAATATATTTCTTTAGTTGGACACAAGACAACACAGGTGGACCAAAGGAGCACACATTAAAAAAAAAAATCATGTGGAAAGAAATTCCACTAGTTGCATTATTTTCAGTGTAGAGCAATAGAAAATAGGGAAGAACTGACGATGTCTGCTTTTCACCACCTTTCACGTCCAAGTTGTGTTTCAACATAAATAATTCAGATCATTTTTGATGTTAACATAACCCCATAATTGGGAATGAATAATTGCTTCACCAGCATTGCATTCATCATTCATTCATATCCTCTATATTTGATGTCTACTATTATCTGGCCTGGTGATGTGCTAGATATTAACATTATGTTTATGATTAATTTAGTTATCATTTCTCCCATAGCTGGCATGCTATGGTTGAATAAAGATCTCAAAATAAAATTGTACAATGTTTCTACTAACTTTTATTCAAGTAAATATTGGCCAGATCACTTTTTGCATATTTTTGTATATTATTTTAACATTAGTTTTCACAAGAAATAGAGAAATATTATCATATATGTATCATTCAAGCAATCTGGAAATAATCACATGGGAACTATCTCAAAGACCCCACTAAGTTTTGGAACTTAATTAACAAAAAGAGCAAAGATATTTTGGTATTAGTAAAGCTCTGAAAAGAGAAGCTCTACTGAGTAAAGCATAGGTGGAGAAACATTTGTTCATTTTCAGGGGAGGTCCACAGAGTAGAATTTGCTTCTTCACGAGAACCTCAACTAAGCCCAGAAGTCAGTGAATATTCTCAGAAAATTATATTCAACTGTGCCCAGTAGAAGAAAAGCATTGGCCAGTCTGATTCCATTCTCCGATAAGACATTCAGTCTTCATTTTCTAAATATATAGATATGTCTGAGATGCATTATCTGTGAAAAAGCATGGAGTAAGTTTGTGTTGTACAGTAAAATATCAAACATGCAACAAATCCATTTGGAGCTTTGGCCTTGATGATAATTGGCCATGTGTAGGGTGAAGCACTCCTCATCATAGTCAAATATTGATATTTAGAAGAACTGATGTGAAAGAGTCATAAACTTGAAGTTTTCAAATGTCCATTTTATTTTAAAGATAACAGTGAAATTAATGATGTATAGTGTAATGTAGAGTAAATACTTTGAAGAATTTGTTTACAAACAATCTGTGATTTTTGCTTCTAATGGGAAAATTATGCTCAGAAGAAGTATGTCATAATGCAGATAAGAAGCATCTGTGCAATAATTAAACAAGTTCAATAACAGGGAGAGAGAGAAGAAATTTATAATATTTAGAGTACAGAAACTGAACTTGAACTTTGTCACCTTCACTTTTTCAATACACAGCTTTTTTGAAATTAAAGTTTAGCATGCATATAGGTAAATCTTATTTTGGAATAATGATTTGTCCAGATGTGCATCTAAAATGTATTTTTTCCTTTTATATATTGGAGATGTGGTTTTAATACATAATTTCTAAAGAGAGTACTTTCTTGCAAAAACTCCCATTATTGACTATATAGCAGATTAGGAAAATGAATGCTTGAAGAAAAATGTCATTGCTATGATAAATAAAATATAGGATATATCTTTTGAACAAGAAATTGCTGAATACAGTAATTAAAATAATCATTTGCTTTTATATTAAAGCATGCGTCATTTCCCATCCCTATTACGAATTTAAAGAAAGAGTAAATTCTCTTAGGATTGACTTTTACTTGCTTAACAGTTTTCCTTAAATTGTTGCTATTTCAAATCAAATCAGAATTGTAGGGAAGGGAACAAGGGTAAAGAAAAAAGTGAATGAGCAAACAATAAAAAAGAAATAAATTAAACACAAACATGTAAATTCATCCTTGTGAACTATGAAAATGACACATTTGTATGAAAGAAAGATGACTAAATTACAATTATTTAATAATAAATGTCTTTTAGATTTTTGAAAATTCAATTTTAGAACATTCAGAAAATGCTAATATGACTTTAAAAATAAAATTTTATTTACATGAGGCCTTGAATAATGCTAAAAATATATTGCCATAAAAACATACCTTATGGGGAAGGTAAAAGTTTACAATTAAGGATCAATAAAGTTTTTTAAAAT